TAACATCAATACTGATCGGTTGCAGAACATGAGATTAAAAATAGGATAAATATCTTAAATTTATTTCACTGAGAAACAAAAGTGGATGAGAAAAGTTTGTTTACCTTCATATCTCACATAGCGAGTAAGATAAAGCGGGAGTTTACAAAAATCTTAATGTTAGAGAACTGTCTCTTTAGATTTGAGCTACATACCAACCTGAGTTTGGGAGTTAAGTCCATGATTTCCAATATTATAAAATTAAACATAGGGAGTTTTTTTTTCAGCTCCTGGGAAGTTAACTGGAAATATGTGCAACTGAGGATCTGTGATGCATCTGACAGTGCTGAGGATCTATTCAGTGTACATGGCATTATACATTCTCTGAGCAACAGCACATCCTAAATGCGTATCTGCTTATCTCTACCAAACAACTGAAAATTGGTCGTCATTGGGGCGTTCAGCCAGCTACTGACCCAAAAACAGCCATGATCCATGAATGTTTGTACCTCAGATATAAATCTTATTGAATATCTGGGGGAAAAAAAAATCTAAGAGGCTGATCAAGACATATTACATGATGTATAAACTGTCCCTTTGTCTCCCCCAACTTTGTATAAAGCATTGTTACTAATATGTGCGACCTATGAGGGTTGGTGTGCCTGCTTTTAGTCTGGGTTTAGCTTGTGTAGAAGCGGCATATGGGTTGAGGTTTGGGACTGAATCCCATTTACAGCTGTCCTCATTTTAGGTAAACAGATAATTTTATCCGGGGGTATTTTAAATAGCTGACTTGATGCTATTTTATGGAAAAGCCTGATACAAAATCGGTATAATATCTGTATATAATCTGTAAATTTGATCTGCCATTATTTATCTTGTATTATACTGTAACCTGTAACCTGCTAATGCATATATAATCATTTTTCCTAACATTACTCATTATTCATATTTATATTTATACACAACTTTTTACAGTCCCTAACTATTACTTTTTGATTGTAAATACACCTATAATAATATTTATATCCTGTATAGCACTTCTGGATAGATGCAAACCACATTTCGTTGCTTTGTTCTCGTGACAGTGCAATGACAATAAAGTTGAATTCTATTCTATTCGATAATTCTCCAGCAGGACAGAAACAGACTTTTGACAAAACTTGATATTAAATATGTGGATTAATCCTTTACTACTTGCATTTCTTTAAATTTCATCAATATGACATGTAGATAAGCTCACCAAAAAAAACAAAAAACAAAAAAAGACAAGAAAACAAAAAAAAAAACAAGGAAAGAAACATGTTAAAAACCAACCGAGTGCTGGCTGTGGAGTTTCTCCAGTAGGGTGTCGTCTGTGGCTTTGGGAAAATGGCTCTCCTCATTCATCAGTGCCAGGAGGCCCAGTTTCTAGAAGAACATGCAAGATTTCCTTATCTGACATCTGAATTTCTATGGTTTTAAAACAATTTACAGCAAGTAACATGAAGGCTTATAGATAGAATCGGAAAAAAACTTAAGTCTTTAAAGCCTGGACTGGAATTATAGCATATATTTATATTAAGGATTTCTATATAGTCTTTTACACATTTTCTGTTCACTACATGTGTCTGGATTAAAAAAAAAATCACACTGATAATGCAGAAGTGTTAACAACTCATCTACTAAATATGATACACTGGGCTTTAAAGGGTCAAATTGGCAGGACATAATGTGACTGCACCTCCAACAATCCTACATCTACCATCACCTTTAATTGGATATTCACTCCTTGTGTTTCCCATTTTGGTGCAGAATAATATTGATTTATGCAGTTTAAAAATAAGCCTCATCAGCCTTAAAATAGAACCTCTTACTCTAAATGAGGGATGTGTCTGGTTAGAGTAAAAAATCATTCGAATACCTTCTCAATCAAATCCAGACACTCTCCGTTGTCCATCCAGTTGATATCGACCCAGACCAGCCCCTCTCTGCAGCAAAAAGCAGGGAAATTAAATTTTGTTTGCAACAAAACAATGAAGATATTACTAAAGGTGAAGGTGTTTGAGTAGCTGAGCTCATCAGTTGGTAAAGGATGACGTTTTGTAGAAGAACTGAAAGGACTTGGAGGGTCAACCTTTAGAACGCTCTGATGTTACACCTACAGTAGTTGCTAAAGGATCAGATGTTTTTTCACATTTTAAATCTTAAAATGCTCTTTATAGATGAAGGAAAAAAATTTTTTTTAAAAAAAAAATCTATTTTCTGCCACATTTGCACATTTCCTCCACGTAAAAAAATTTTTTTGTCAAAAGAAAAAGATGATGTAGAGTAGATCAGAGTCCATGTCGTCCAGACAAACACACGTTTGAAGTTTTTTTTTTTTTTTTTTTACTTGTGCACGTTTACTTTATCTCTCTCAAAGACTGGAGTAAAATGGAGCCACATTACAGCTTTGCTTCCACCTTTTTGTTTAAATCTGTACAAATTTAAGAGGTTTTGTGGAAGCAGATTTTTTTTAAATCAAGAATACATATTCTTTTTTTAATATCCATACAAAGCTGTGGAATTGGAGCCTCACATGTTGTTATTTGCTAGTTTATGCCTTTGTAAAACTTTAATAAATCTATCTGCATGTTCGTTAAATTATTAAAACACAAAAGGAGCAATAAAACAACCAATTTATCACCTGATACACAACTCCTATTGATTATCTGTTTATCACCAACTAAATATAATAGCTTCCCTTCAAAATGTTTTAAGGAGCCTGTAAAACAATAATTAGGTGCTGTTCTTCAATCATTAGGAGCAAATTCAAAAGCCTGGTCTCTATGCAAAGTTAATACTATCCTTTTTTAACCTGAGTGGTCAGATATATCAGAACTGTCACCACTTTGTATCTGTTTAAGTGGAAACACAGGCATTTTATTATTATTTTTTTTTTATCGTTTGGATTGCTTTCTGTTTTTTGTTTTTGTATTTTTTTATACCGGTAACTGTACATGTAAGGATGTAGCTATAGAATCTTAGCTGATATTTTATAGTTCACAGTTTTAAATTAATTAAGAATAAAAGAAACCAAAACACTTCGCTTCTGTAAACAGGACCCCAAGATACTTGAACTCCTCCACGGGAGGAAGGAACTCTTCTCCTACTCTCCTCCACCCTGAGGAGGAAAAGCCACCTTTTTCTGTCAAGAACCATGCCCTCAGACTTGGAGGTGCTGGTTCTCATCCTGGATGCTTCCCAGGGCCTGCTGTAGGCCTTGGTGGGGAGGAAGCCAGTAGAATCACATCATCTGCAAAAAGCAGAGAGAAGATCGACTGCTCTCTGAACCAGACCCCCTCCAGCCCTCGGCTGCACCAAGAAATCTTGTCCATAAAGGTTATGAACAAGACCAGAGACATAGGGCAGCCCTTGCAGAATAAAATATGCACTGGGAAAAGATCAGGCTTAACGTCTACGTTCCCACATTCACATATGGTCATAAAATTTGGATCATGACCAAAAGAATGAGATCCTGAATACAAGCAGCTGGAATGAGCTCTGTCTGCAGGGTGGCTGGGCTCTTCCTTAGAGATAGGGTGAGGAGCTCAGTTATTCAGGAGAAGCTCGGAGTAGAGACGTTTCTCCTCCATAATAAGAGCCAGGACATGCAGGAGGGACTATATCTTCTCCAAAACAAGCTGGACGAGGTGTCTGGAGAGAGGAAAGTCTTGTAGTCTCTGCTGAAACTACTGCCCCCGGTACCAAATGAAGCAGGAGATGATGAGTATGAATAAAACGATAAAATGGTATCCTGGGAAAACTTTTCAGCAGTACTTTCTCTATCAGTAGCTGGAATATTATTTATATTCCTAAAAGCTGTTGTCCAGTCCAGAGAGAGAGAGGGTGGACAGAATTTATGAACAGAGTTAACTTTCTAAAGAAGAGAAGCTGAAAGCCATTTTGGTTTGGTCGGGTAAGAAAATAATATTTTTAACAGAAATTGTGACATTTTAGCATCCAAATGATTCACATCTGAACCATGGGCCACTAAATACACCCAAAGGTCATGGAATCTAAAAAAGTTAAAACTCAAGCCCTGAGTATCCAATATGCAACTACTATCACATTTACTTGCAAAATTACATTTCAGAACATTCAACTCTAATTTCTTAGGTGTGGTAAAAAATTAAGACTGCTTTAAGTTCTTTTTTTCTCTTTTCAAATTGCTAAAAATAATTTTTACACCTTGTTTTGAGGGTAAACAAAGGAAGCATCACCACCTACCTGTTGTATTCAAGTTGCTCCAGAGAAAAAATGTGCTTGTTAAAATATTCCTGAAGCTTCTCATTTGCATAGTTGATGTTGAACTGCTCGAAGCGATTAACCTGAGGGGAACCAAACCAGGCAGAAATTGAGAAATCCAAAACTTATTCAAACATTTATTCTGAATTGACTGCCTTATTGTTTTAAAGCACAGAAATGTTCACTTTATTAACTGCTTATAGGGTGAAATCTTAAAAAGTCAACCTAAACATGTACCTCAAAGTTCTCAAATCCGAAGATGTCCAGGATGCTGACAGATTTGAAGTCCTCCTTGCCCCTGATGCGGTTGTTCAGTTTGTGAATGATCCAGTTAAAACACTGTGAATAAAGCGCCATGGCCATGGAGTCTCTGGAGTCCACCGCCTTCAGGAACAACACAGAGAACCAGTAAGCAGAGGAAGGTAGAAAAACGTCTCAAGTATATCAAAAATCTTTTTTCAAAAATATAAAACATATCGGTTGTTTTAGGGTAATAAATAAGTTGGTTAGAGGCAGGAAGCGCAATGAATGTTTGGACTTTAGGAATGTTAGGAAGGACTGTGGCAGGAGAGATCGGTTGAAATAAAACAGATCAGTTTCCTTTGCCTTAAATTTCACACCAGTGTTTGATTATCTGCATGTTTTGTTAGTAGTCCTCTGACCTGTTCAACCGTTAGCGGCGTGGAGATCTCCTCCCCCCTCAGGATCATCGAGCGGTGGGTCAGGACTTCTGCCAGCTGATCCGAGTTCAGTCCCAAGAGTTCTGACGTCCAGTTTAGAGCTGCAGGGGAAAGGGACATAAAACATCAGTAAACCATTTCAGAAAATGAGTATTAAATACACACCAATGCTTCCTGTTTTTCCAGTCAGAGTCAGTAATAATTACATATATTTTACTGTTCTAGTATGTTTTTTTTTCCTGCAAGGACAACCCAATGCCAGTAGCTAAACAGCTAAGAAAAAGAAAAAAAAGACAAGAATAAGGAAAATTGTGAAAAGTGTCAACAGTGACGATAAATGCTCCAACCTGATTTGGAGGCGACCTGGGCCCCTCCAGCCGTCATAAACTCGATGTTCCCTGCATGGAGGATCCCTGCCAGGAGGCGCAGGATCTCACTGATGTTCTCCTCTGTGAACTGCATTGTTTGCATGGCATTCTGAAAAACAACAAAAACATGAAGAAGATGCTCTTAGCAAACATCAAGAGGAATATCAGTTCTCCCTGTTCGAGACTCAAACCTGTGCTGGCTCTGTGTAATCACTATTTCAACTATTCTCTATATTTGAGTAAAGATTACAAATCTGCAGACCCTCTTATAAAGATTTTTTTTTTTCCTCTGAGGTGTATGGGTGCTTTACATTAACATCATGTCAAAAGGTTTGCTCAGGCAGCACAATTTATAATAAAAATGTCCTCATTGTGTGTTATTTCCTCTTATGTAAGTACATAAACTATTAATAAAGCTTACCCTTGGAACACTAGAGGGGAAATGAGCAAATATGGATTATATGTGCACTCAAAATAAACAAGAATACAACATTTTGTTTAGAAGACAATTCGTACAATTCTATTGCTTTATAGACAATTACTTTTATAAGTAAGAAAAATTCAAAGAATATGATAATTTTCCTTTTTAGTGGATGAAGATTGAAGAATTTTGTTCGCAGTGATCTATTATAATTAACTATTTTCAACCATTTGGACTGAATGTTCTGTTTTTGCTGAATGAATACATGCAAAACCTGATATATTTCTCCATACCAGAACATCCTGAAAAGTGCCTTTGTCGTTGATTGTCTTGTCAGCGATGCAGCTGGACTGTCTCAGGTAGTGATAGCTCTCAGGATGCGTCAACCCAAACGCCTCTGCAGAGACAAATAAAACAATTATATGACCTTCTTTTTTTAACAAAAAACATGCAGATAATATCAAGCACACCAATGAAACAACCCAAAGCAAGCATTTTTCGTATAATGCAGATGAGTAAATAATTTTTTATTCAAATTTTGTTCTTGATTCACCTCTTTGCTGGTTGTTGGCTCCTGCTAATATGGCATAAAAAATATGGTAGTTTCGCTCTCCTGGGTTCTGCCGAACAACTCGATTCTGAGGAGAAAACAAATGATCTGTCAATAAAGCTATCACAAACCTGATCGAGGCGTCTCATTTTGACAGCCTGACACAACATTTTTGTCATATATACTTCATTTACTCTTTGTCTACAATAGGAATACTCTTAATCATCAGATCCTGTACTGTTAAAACCTTTGATTAGCTTTCAAAACAAGGCTTCAAATAATATACTTATGTTATATAATAATATATGAAAGGATTTACCTTTTCTAGTAGATCTGTCATCAGGAAAGAATCAGTTAAGGAACAAAACAGTCAAAAAGCTCTGCATGGTTACAAAAGTCTATAAAATATTACCATTCCACAAATGGTAAATGGCCTGTTTTTATATAGGGCTTTTACTAGTTCTTCACAATACATTCAGTCATTCACAGATTCACTCACACACTGATGGTAGCTAGCTACATTGTAGCCACAGCTGCTATGGGGCTCACTGATAGAAGGGAGGCTGCCGTTCACTGGCGCCACCTCTGACCACCATCAGTAGGCAATGCAGGTGAGGTCTTGCCCAAGGACACAATGCATAATGCAAACTAACCATCTGATCAGTCTGAAGTGCCTGTAACCCACTAGTTAATAATAAATAGTTATGTTGTATTTATACCTATTGCTGTCTACCATTGTTCTCTGAGTAATATCATTTGATCAATAATTTTCCAATGTATAACAACACAAAATGAGCATTTAATGTATGATGTATGCTAATATTACTCAAAGCAGCAACATTATTTTGTCAGAAATTAAAAGGTTGTACCCAGGCACCACTACTCGTAACAGGATTTAACTCCTCCTTTGCTCCAGTTCAATAAATGAATAACAATGCTGATTAACCAACCTCCTAAAAATAGTTAGGTCCTGCAAACTCATTGAAAACAGTTCAACTAAAACTATCTACACTAACAACTATGCCCTGTTTAGACCAAAAGGTTATCTAAAGTAATGCAGTTATGTTGAAAAATTAACAGGAGCTCATGTGTTTATTGCATTAAGCTTTTATGGATGCAAAACATAAAACTGGGGTTGGAGATTTTAAAAGCCAAACTCTAAAACATTTCTTCTTTATGTAGCTCTTGGTGTTGACTTCCCTATTTTCTTTGCATTAAGCCTTTAGTGTAGGCCTACCAAAAATCACAAAGTGCTTCAACATAGATAAAATGAAACAAAAATGGGTGCTGGTCACCTAAAACTGAGAACTTTTAAAGGATACAGTCAACAATTTTCCCCCCTTGAATGTTTCCCTTCTGGCTGAAATGCAGCTGGACAAACTTCCCAAAGCGACTGGAATTGTTGTTGTAGACAGTCTTCGCATTTCCAAAGGCCTCCATAATGGGACTGACGAGAGAATGAGTAGAAAGACAATCAGTTCATGTCTGTTGGAAAGCTGATACACCATCGACTTTAACAGAACTATTTTACCTGCTCTCCAGCAGCGCCTCCTCCACATGGGATGTCTTGTCTCTGCAGGAAACTTCCAGTGAGTGTTGGCTCATAGCAGACAGAAACCTCAGGATCAGCTTGGTGCTTTCTGTTTTACCAGCTCCGCTTTCTCCACTGAGGAAACAAGAACAAAATATGCCTTTAGAAGTTTTGAATCTTCAACCTTGATAAGTTAAACATTTTAAAACATAAAAAATATAGAATATAATTAATATATTTTCATAGTCCATCCAATCCAATCCTTATTTGACCCAGACGATGTGATTTAAAATGGAAAAAGGAAATTGAGGGAGGTTGGAGATACATCTTATTTGTCACTTTCTTACCAAATAGTAGGATGAAAAATTACACTGGGTTTTTATTCCATCCTCAACCACTAGATGGCACCCCAATGCTACCTCAAAGGCACCATTCATCTGTGTAATTTACTGATATTTTCAAATATTCCACAAATAGGAAACAATCAGAGCTTTGAAAAACAGACATAGCAGAATAAAAGAGACACACTTAGGTATATAGTTCTTCTAAAGAGATCGGAAAATAACTTGCCAAGCAGTTTGGATGTCAACGAATACAGAAGACTGCTTACAGGAGATTCCTTCTTCTCATGCCTCAGTCTTTGCTGAGTTTATTTTTTCTTAGTTTTTCTTTGCACCTCAATTTGCTCTCTTCGTGTTTTGTTTAATACACACAGCCCCCTAAGCTAATAAGTAGTATAATTAATGGGAATGCAGGTAGAATCAAAAGCAAAGCCTTGAAAGCCCTTCAGAAAGTGTGGAGAACTGCTGATCTAGACCAGGGCTCTGCAGCTTGAAGCTCTTAAACCACAAGTGGCTCTTTGGACCCTCCACTATTGCTTGAAATAACTTAAGTCAGAAATAAAGATATTCTTAAATACGGGTATAATAACAAATGTGGCGTCATTACCATTTCAGGCTGTAAGACAAGAGAAAAGCCTTAACTCTAAACCAGACTAAGCTGACATGTAAAGCAGCTACTCTCCTTTTACTGCATTGATTACTATGATTTTGCATGTCCAACCATCCTGTAAGACACGTTGGATTGGTCTGTGATAACCACGTGTGCATGGTCACTTCCACCAGGCTATATCTAAAGAGACTAACTGACTACAGGAACTTGGTTCTTTGGTACTTGGCTTTTAAAAAAACATTATAAAGTCAATTTAAAACATAACATGATGAACAAGGGAGGATAAAGCTTAATACTAGAAATAAAAGAATATTTGAAAAAAGAGAATGTTGCCACACAGCAACCTCTCCAACACTGAAGGAGAAAACAGAGCTCAAGAAAAAAAAACAAAAAAAACAAAACAAAACACTGACATCCCTTCACTTTCCTCCTAATAGTGTTCAGGATTACTCTAGCTACCAAAAGCACAAGATTCATGCTCATCATGCTGATTTCCAACCAGTAAAATCTGCACATAGAATGAGCAACTCAGAAAATTCACATGCCAACCGTTCCGCAAATATTCGGACCTCAGATGTTTAAAGGTTTATTTCGGGAACTTCTTTAAGATCGTAATCATCTTATCTTAAAAATGTTGAGTGTACTTTAGACTAAAGATACTAAATGAATGCTACCTTAGGATTTTTATTACAATAAACCTGAATTATTTGACACAGCTACTCTATCCTAAAAATGATAAACTAGGAACTTTAAAATGACAAGCAGACACTCACTATGACAGAAACATGCTAGAAAATATATATTTTTTTATTTTACAAGCAACAGAAAGATGAGTCATTTGTCAGTAATTAGGTTTTCTTATGGTGTCCCTCAAGGTTCTGAATTTGAACCAGTTTTCTCTGATGCATAGTTCTCTTGAGAGATGTAAAAATAAAATAGGACACAGACGTGCACCACTATCCTGATGACACCCAGCTATATGTATGTAAGTAAATAAAGTAAGTTGATAGTTTATTAAGGGAACATGTTTGTCTGTCTTGAATTAGTGTTACCCGCCTCATTTAAATCCAAGCTGTAAGAAAAATAAATTGGAAGCAGTTGAGGTAAAACGCTTATAAGGAGAAGGCATGATGTTTTTGGACTTTTGATGCATCCGTTTCTTTTTTCCAACTATCAAACAATGAGAATTATAGTCTTTAAAGTTGTGTTTCCATCATTTTTAAAGGGTACCTCCAGTCAGCAGAGCAGAGCTTACTGTCAAAGTGGTCGTCTCTGCTGCATTCAGCCTTGCTGTATTTTCTGCATGTCTTCAAAAAGTTCCGACATACACATGGAGTTAACTGGTGTCATTGAACTGGTTGTATGTGTTGGAGTGAGTGTTTAGCTGCTCAGCTCTAATATGTTCCAGCACATTTATCCTTTAAGATAAAGTTGGTACAGAAAGAGCAGTGCAGATGTTTCTGAGAAACGTACAGCTGAGTTGCAGTGAACACTCATTCCTGATGAGTACTAAATGGTCACTGTAGGGTTTAGCTTAGTATTAAAAATGAAACTGAACTTTAGCTTTTCTTCATATCAGTAAAAGGTTTTGTCCCTGAAGTCAGCAGCATGTTCCTGATGGAGAACAGGGCTGATGGTAATGTAAACATTTAGGGTCTCTGGCTATAGCCTGAGACATGGTCACACATTACATGTGGAGGGATGTTATGACAGGACAGACTGAGATTTAAAACGTGGGAAACACATATGGAAGATGATTACAAGCAGCCATTTAAACTTCAGGGCATCAAGCAGCAGGATGATCCCCAGGAACACAAGGACTACTTTTTTCTCTTTTTTTAATGATACTTGTCTGTCTACATTTACAATAATCTCTTAACCCTTTATAGAGCACTCAGGGAAATACTTTAAAAATCTAAATTTCAATCCAATAGAGTTATTAGAATGGAGGACAAGACCTTATTACCTTTGTAAAAAAAAAAAAAAAAAAAAAAAGGTAAGTTTGGTCAATGTAATAACAAAAAACACCAACTTGCCTGAATATATCATATATTAAAGAAAATAACAAAAGTGCTTCTATAAGAAATTCATGAAAAAGAAACACATTTTTTTTGGTCCAACATAACCTTAGAGGCATTAATCCTGATACTGGAACTGACATTTTTTAGTTTATAAATCTAAATATAATAGTTAACTAGGCTTATTATTTTTTTTACTTTACTTTTTAACGTTTTACATTTTTTCTTTACTTTTTTTCCAACTTAATTTCCAGTGGGTAATATATCATTCAATGGCTCATCTAATTGGTCAAATGCCAAAATAAGATGTACAGCCATGTAGCAAGATCTTTGCTGAATGGCTGGATATAGATCTAGTGCTTCTAGACCTCACTGAGGGACGGGGGGGAACTCCATTTGTAAGGGGTATGCAGATGATCAAAAAAGGAAACTTGCCCTATAAAGGGTTAATCCAGACAGTTCTAAGAGGGAGATTAAGGTTTTCAGTTTCTCAAATGTTTGACACTGCTTTGAGAAATTCTTTTTTTTATTGAATTTATTTAAAAAAATCAGAAAAATCCACCAAATCAGACCTAAAAATGACACTCTAATTGAGTAATCTTACATTATATAAAGAACCAAAGAGGTTGAAATTGCAAAAACACTGAATCAGTTTGTCTATATGTTTGTCTCTTTTCCAAATCCCCATAAAAAGTTATGTATATATTCAGCTGAAATGTTAGAGAAGTTGCATATTTTTACTGGCATCAAATTATTTGTGATGATCCGGATCACCATCTGGATCCAGGAATGTTTTTAACGGTTCTGTGAATCCAGGTATTAACTTGAGGTGGAAGTCAGAATATTTCTGGGGAAATGAGCTACTTGGCAGATGTCTCTGCTCACCAGGTTTACACATCCAATCCTGTCTTGAATATAAAGTTTGAGTGTTGCTTCTGGAATGAAAGATGTTTATCTATTTAAATGTTATATGTGCAGCCGCAAACTATAAAACCATGTTATACTAAAAAGAAACAATTGTAGTGTCGGTTGGCCCTTTAGTGTAAGTCCAATTCAACCTGGAGAGACTCAAATGGAGAAATGGTGTGATTAGAAAAGTTTTAGACATAAATTAAATGAGTTCTTCAGCGCTGGGGCCCCGGCAGAGGACTTTGATGCAGTGAATTAGCATTTGCTTGGACACTGGTGGTGGAATAAGCCGGAGGGTGGGCGGAACTGAAAAAGGTCTGAAAGTCAAGGAGGAGATGGGGTGGAGGTTGGTTGGAGTTTGCTGGCTTGATTGAGGGAGGCTACAAGAAGGACATCTTAAAAGATGATGGCTCTGGAGGAGGTGCGGTCCCGACGTTGATTGCCTGAAGCTGAACGAGCGACAGGTGGTCCAGGTGAAGCTAATAAGCGTCTTCCAGATTTAATTTTCGGTTAAGCTTCATTTCACAGGTTATGGTTTGATTTTTAAAACCTAACCATTAAATATGATTTATTAACATTTTTATGGTTTTCATTATCAAATGAAAGGTATAAATGCTACTTTCCCATAATGTCCTTGTGATTTTTTTTTTCTTAAAATTATAGAAACTAAAGATCACCAAACCATCTTGGGCTGACTATATACAAAAAAAAAAAAAAAAAAAAACTTCTGTGAGTCCAACATTAGAAATGTTTAAAAATAATGACCCTGTACAGTTAATGAAAATAAAATACATATCTGGCCTGCTCCTATACTTTAAAATCACCTAAACAAATTCTTCCAACTACCTAGATGGTTGCAGAATATTTCTTTTGACATTAAGACGCTGTTCCTGAGCAGGTTACTGGCCAAAACATTGTGTAGCAGATTCTATGAACCAGGACGTTTGTAGAAAATGAACCTGGTCTCTAACTTTTGCACACTGCTAAACAAACTGCAAATATTGCCAACACCATTTGCAATAAATGCATAATGTTTAGATATATATTTTTACAATTTTGGTATAATTGGTATAAATAATAATAAGTAGGTTGCTCTGTCAGGAAAAAGAATGTTTTGGAGTCTCTATTTTCCAGTTAAAGATTAATCGATTACTAAAATAGTTGACGATTATTTCAATAGTCGATTAATCCAATTAATTGTTTCAGCTCTAGACCGTTGCTTTGTTGTCTATAACAAGGTCCTTAAATTGAGCACAT